GAGAGTGAGAGAGAGAGAGAGAGAGAGACAGAGAGACAGTATAGGTGCTACAACCAAGACGTGCTAAGAGTATGCTGTATTACCCAGTGATGTGTAAATTGTTAATGTAGTTTCAACAGAGAAATGCGGTTAAATTTCGCTCGAGGACAATCGAGTATTTCCTACGTGTAGCTTTGATTACGATGTTTGGTAGTCTACCTTTATACACAGGCGCAAAAATCTAACTGCTTGCAGAGCGTGTCCCTGAACCTTTCTCCTAAAAGCCCACCAATCAATTTCAATGTAGAATGCTAACTTTTGCAATGCCGTGTTGTTAAAAATCAAAAGAAATTTCAGCCCAAACAATTATGCAACCGGAAACTGACTCCTGATTCCCAACACTTTAAGAGTGCGGCAATTTTCTATTGGCTACCCCGGTAGGGGTGTACTCGAACCGCAAGTTTCAACAAAATCAGACAAGATAAATAGGGTAAGCATAGACGCTAACAAACGTTGTTGTATGTTGGATCTTACCACACATACAAACCTATCATATCAGGCAGGTTCAGGGATTTTGCATGGAATAGTGAACGGCACTAGTTGCCGGCAGCGGCCACCACGCTGTACCAAGAACAAGATAAAAACTGCATTAATCAAGACAGCCAATATTTCGTTTTTCAGTTGATTCGTTTACCATATATGCATTTACAGAATGGTAATCCTGCATGGATGTATGGCGGGGCCCCCCCGTACCGTCTGGTTTAGTACCAATGAAAATAGGTAGCCTAACTATAGCCCTGCCCCACTATATCTAGCTGGAAGTGACGCTAAGTAAGGTGAAATTCCAGACTATGGACTCACTGAGGTTCTCAAGAGGGGATTATGTTTCTCGGGCATTACTTACAGTGCATATCTCTTTCGTGCTCATACTCAATGAAAGCATATCCTCTAGGCTTGCCATTTATTGTATTGTGAATTACCACTATCTGAAACATTTCGTAGTACCATTAGCGACTCAAGTTACCGGCTCGAAACAAATCTCGGGATCCCGTCCCCTTACCTTTTTTACCGGACCGTATACTTCGAATTCCCTTCTCAGTTTCGATTCCGATGTATCATAGTTCTAGAAATAACAAATAATTTCGCGGAATGAAATGACAATGCTGCGGAAACTTTGCCGCGTCCACGGATAACGCTACTTACTATTCGAGCTACAAAAAGTGTTTTGAAAGGATCCGCGGTTACATTTGGAATACCAGCAGGATCCCAAACTGCAATTTCTTGTTCGAGTTTATATGCAACTTGCTCCGCGCGTTCCCTTCTCCTTCGTTCTAGCCGTTCCTCTCTGGTCTCTACACGAACCGGTGGTGGTGTGTCTTTAGGATCCTGTAAAAAATAAACCATATTCCTTAATCCATTAATTATTGCCAACATTCGAACTGGAATACACGAAACAGTTTGCGGTAACATTTACACGCTCCGTACTAGTAGTCTTATTTGTTACTCCTATTTCTCTTTGACGTGTAAGCGTACGCGTTTCTTGCACTCATTAGGGTATACGTGTGTGTGTATATATATATATATATATATATATATATATATACGATGATTACACTGAACCAAATTGAATGAAATTTGATGAAAAATGAATACATATTTAGCTTCCAATGGCATTTTAGATAAAGTGAGTCTTTAAAGTATGTTCAAAACATAAAAGTCCAATTTCCGGGCACAACGATTGAAACGGAGCGCCTAAAAGCAAGCGAATCGAGTAGATTACGTGTACACTTGGATTACCTCAAAGTATTTAAGGAATGCTCCAACGCCGATATAGCCTCCATTCTTCTTCTCGTGCGGGAGCTTGCTAACGGGTGGTAAATACGGTATAGGATCCCGTGGAGCGAAAAGAGCTAATAGATTCGGCGGCAGGAACTGCGTCATTTTCTCAGGTACGGGTCAAACGTGACGCTTCACTTTTCAGTTCACGAAAAATATCGGGGCACGTAGCATCTTCATGTTCCAAACACCAATACAAAATGGCGACGGTGTTGCCAACAGTTTACGATAACGATATTTCTTTACCAATTCGGTAGAGTTAATTAAAAACAAAGGGAACTCACGCAAGGTGGCAGCACTAGTACTACAGTTATACCAATCTGATTCCGAGTGTCACGATGTGCTAGTACCCGTTTTACGCGTCTCTCTAGTGCAAAAGTCAGTTGGATCTGATCGAATGTTTCGACGATTCATCCGTTAGTTGTCGACAAATGATGACGAAACATCCGTTTTGTTAGATTAAACGTCAGCATAGTGATTTGTCTAGCAACTATGACAAATGAAAATGAACACTGCAGGTCGGTAAAACAGTGATTGGTCAATGTAAACGGAAATCTAGGGATATTCCCTTACGTTCAACCATTTAAAAGAATTTCACGTTGTTGATTAAGTTTTAGGTGCCATTTCAACATTTTAGTTTTCATCGTTATCGCATTATTATCTTACACCATCGTTATCGTACGAGAAACATAGTAGAGAGAGCAATGAAAGAAATTTGAATCGCGTGAACAGGTTAACGTCACGTGTTGGTAGCGACATCAGTGTTACCTGATGGCACTTTGTACAAACGTCACATTGATGAGTCGCCTAATCGCAAAGTTTTTTGTGGCCTGATTGTTTGAGTTGATCGAGCACAATAACACAACCTGTCAGCATACGGTAGACTAAAAGAACTGCGCAAAACGACAGGTACATCAATTCTGTTGTTTCAGTTTTCCTAGTTGCTTTTATTCGTAACGATTCTCGTTGCAATGCTAGAATTCGCGTTGTAATGCTTCTTTTTCCATCGCGATTACTCGTAAGATAACCGGTCAACTTGTAAGATATACACTACTTTGTATCAAAATAGTTGGATTCAAGTAAACCAAACGTTTTCGTTGCATCGATGAAAGAAGAATCGTAGCATTTTAATCGTTATTAGCTGAAAATCTAATCGGAGTCATAAGTTCTTCCCGCAATAAACAAACCTGTAGATCGAGTCGAGTTCGTTATCTTGTTTGACAACACGATTATTTTCATCCAGTCGACCTTGGTCCCAATTTCCATTCAGAGGCATTGTCGTCTGCCTATCATTCCTGCAGCCGGAACCAATTTACCCATCTGGCAAAAGATTCGATTTCAGTTCCATATAGTGTATTACCTTGACGCTAGATGTCACCAAACGTCGCTTAAAATATCATAATTCAAATGTTTTCTCTTCGAATTGATTTCCACTTCGATCAGTAATTTATTTAATGTCTTCATTTACGTGATAATTATCACCACTCTACGTACAAACATTGTTAAGAAACAATGTTTTGTCAAACTTACGCAATTACCCCAAATGTATCTTCGCAAAGTTGACACATCTCCAATATGAAAATACATTACTGTTTCCCAACTTTCGGATGAAAAATTTTGAAGAAATTTCCTATAAACGTTCATCAAGTTTGATTTATTCTTTAGAAAGCGCGTTTCTTTTTGGCTGTTCATTCGCTCTTGAATCACTGCGCGCCGCGAAATTCGTTCCGACGCTGAAACAATTTGCGCGTTGAATTTCGGCTTTGTCGTTCTTCCGACGTGAAATCCAATCGCGAGGTAACTGGATTCGGGGTCATCTCGTTGCTGAAACAGGAAGTCTTCTTTCTCGGGGATTCAAGTTTCCCGGATAGAGCAAACACTCTTCAAAAAACGGGGTAGGGTCAATTATCAATTCTTCAAAGTTGCTCGAGGTCAACATTCGAACTACCAGACCTTTTCCTTTATAATTACCAGAGAAAAGAAAAAAGAAAAAAGAAAAAAGAAAAAAAAGAAAAGAGAAAAATTCTGAAATGAACTGACACAGTGAAACGCAACTGAAACTGAAGTCAATCAGAATCTCGATATATACACTTTTGTAGTTTCCACGGAAGAATGGAGACGAATCGGTTCAATTGTTTAATAGTTCGAATTTTGAAGGTGAACAGAAAATTCGACTTGACATAGCACATTAGAACCGCATTCCTTTCAGGTGACTTCTGCCTATCAACGCGTTGCTCGTTAGCGAGGAGTCCGTTTGAAAAATGTCGCAATGCGAGTATGTAAAAGGCGACACGGATCCGGAATCGCTGGTTCCCATTTTCCAGCCGGATGCGAAGATTCAAGAAAAGCTGAACATCCTGGCTGCTCACTTCACCAAGAAATACGATGTTCAACCTTCGTTCATCGTCAGAGTCCCAGGAAGGTATTGGGATCCAAAGTTGCTTTAACCTGCCGCGTTTATTACAAAACAACTGGTACACCGGTCTACCTACCAGGGCCCAATCTTCTGTTTGTTGGTCCATAGGGTTAATTTAATCGGCGAGCACATCGATTATTGCGGGTACGCCGTTTGTCCGATGGCCATCGAGCAACACATCCTCGTAGCCGTTTCCGTCTCGTCGACCAGCGAAATCCGCCTGACCAATCTGAACCCGAAATACAAGGATTTCCAGTGCGACATCAAAGACCTAAGGTACGGTAACATTTGTAAAATTATCCCACGGTAATGAGATCTCCCGTGGCCCCTCTTAATTATCTTTCACCGGAGGATTCTCGGCAGAGCATCTGAATCATCTTTAGCCACCCTTCTCGACGTCCCTTGGTTATCTTTCGCTAGTATTCCCCTACCCCTTTCGCGAATGCTCGGACCAAAGATCTCGAGGAGAGCTCGAGTGGCCCGAGAAACTATCGCTTCGATAGTTTGCCTCTTCGCGTTTACCCGTAAATCAACGATTCCTAATAACAAAGCGATATTTCATTGATATTTCGAAAAGTAAGCAACATCGCGATTCCTCGAATTGCCGACAAGCGTGAACGCAGCAACCGCTTCTACGATTTCTTTGATATACATCGTTTTATTTACAACGTTTGCACGATATTACTTTGCACGATATTTTTCTAGCTGCAGCAACTCGCGATTATATTTGACTAGGAGTCGCGGCAACGCAATCGATCGATTAACTCCGAAACGAGGAAGCGGATATTTTTACTTGTGACCGAGGAAACGTGGAAAACCTATTTGCGGCCGGACCGAAATATTCCTGATAGATGTATTTCTATTGTTAGGCTCCCGGCCCGGAACATCGGACTGCAATTTTCCGGCGAGAAATTTCCCGGCCGTTGCATTTCTCGCGGGAAACAGTGAAAATAAATGGCATCCGACGCGATCGCTGGAGAAACAGCTCCGTCTGCGTCGAACTGCCGCGACCCGTTAAAAGGCTCGCGATATAAAATGAACGATCGAGCCAGCGAACGCGCGTTTAATTTCATTACTCACCCGGCGTTTAGCTGCCGTGACAATCGGTAACTGCCGTACGTGCCTGCGAGAAAAACCGTGGCGCATTTTCGTTACGAGGAAATTATTCGACGAGAGAAATTTGTTTGCGCGACAAGTGCAAATTGGTTCGAACATCGACGCGAGAGGATAAATAAGAAACGAATGAAAGGAGTAAGCGATAGCGGAGAAAGAGCGAGCCCAACTATCGATTCGAACGTCTAATTTCTCCGCGTCGGATCGAGGAAACTACTCGGTTCTCCCGTGCGATCGATCAGATTCCATTCTCTTCCGAGAAGCCGTGTTTTAATTTCGAAATGGCGCCAAGGGACGCGGAACGCGCGCTCGCCCGTAAACAGCCGCGGGACAATATTTGCAGGGAACTGACAAACCGGAACGTACCTCGGTGACCACGGGAACAGCTGCAGCGTCTGTCGCCTATTACGTAACGATTGTCGCGAGTCACTTACAGCCGGCCTTCCATATTGACCGTGAAAACGCTCTTTGAGGGATCGAGGGCTCGTACCTCGCCAGCGTTCGTCGTAGTTTTCAAGCTCGTTCGCGGAGAGCGAACCAACTGTTCCTCGTTAGAACGAAATCATCGGAACGAAATTCATATTCTCCCGCAGTGGTTGCATCGAGGATGCCGGCGAGGGACCGGTCTGGTACAAGTATTTCCTCTGCGGCGTGAAAGGAGCCCTCGAGATCATCCTGGAGAAGGGCAACGTCCCCTCGGGAATCCTAGCTACCGTTTGGGGAAACATTCCTCCTAATTCAGGGCTCTCGAGCTCGAGCGCACTCGTCTCCGCCGCTCTTCTTCTGACCGTGCACGCCCATCAGGTAACCGTGTACCGTGCGCGTTCATGGGAAGAGGGCAAACTTTTCTTTAGAAAATTATCTTTCAGCTGTCTTCTTCCTATCAACGCGCCATGTGCAATATTAGAAGTAGAATAATTGATCGTTGATCGGATCGAATCCCGATAAAGCCATTTTTATTTCCGCTCGTAATATTTCGCCTGGTAATAATCCCGGTAACCGTTCAGACGTTAATATCGCTTTAAGAAGCGACTGGAAAATTTCTCGCGACCCACCGGGGATTAATTTGCCGCTTTCAGAGGGTCTCGGTCTGCGATCAACGACTCTTCCACCGTCCCGGAAAGAAATGTCTCTCGCGCGAAGGGGCTTACCGAAGGTAAACGATCTGTTTAACTTCGCCTCGAGAAGAATTACTCCCGCGAAAAGTTTTATCAAGAGGGGCCGGGAAGAATTGATCTGTCAACCGGATATTACACCTTTCCCAGGTAATCAGGGGGTGCATATCTGTTTCGCGGGGTGACAAGCGGAGAGACAAGAGACAAAGCGGAGCGCCAGGTCGAGTCTGAAGAATATTATTCTTAGCGCGGTAACGTGCTATCGTAGATGACACCGTCGATTATTTACCTTGAACTTGGACACGCTTACCAAAGTGATTTATTCACTAGTAGTAAATATTTCATGCCACTAGCGGTGATTCCTAATTCCTACGAAATCTCTTCGTCCATTCGATCAGTTGGCCAAACTTCTCCGAAGAAACAAAAATTCCCCTGTATTCGAATAATTGGTTGCAAAGCGAATACGTTGACTATGCGTGTTGCATAGACGGGCTAGCTTGTTCTCCCTTAACGAGCTCCACTGCTTCATAATTTAGTTACCTCCGGCTCAAACGCTCTCGCGAAAATTCCTAGTAATTAAACGTCTAGGCGAACTCCGTTATTACAGGAGCCGCATCAAACTGAACTCAACGACAAAGTAACCAGGGAAAAGAAAACAGTGTCCGCTGTCTTTCCTACGAAATCGCTATTCTCGACAATTTTACTTAGATTACTTCAATTCTGATCAAACTAGATCTTCACGAGGGTACCAGCGAACGAAACTTTTTTCATTTCCTTGCACTCGCAGTCCTCGAAAAATTTCGTGAATCCTTACAGCTTGGAAAATTGAACTTTTTACTTATTTCCACGAGTTACACGTATCTAGGGAAATTCTACAAGATTTTCCAGTCTGTCGGAGCCGCGACTTACAGTCGAATCGAGGGTAAAGTTAACTCTGCTCGTCAGTGGAACATCCAAATCCTCTTCTAGCGCTTTTTTACAGCGCTGAGATTAAACGGACAATCTACGGTTAAGACATTCGCGACCGTATAGAATTTCCTAAAGTCCGAAGCTGGATACCGCGAGGATCTGCTATTCGAGTGGTGTGTGGTCAACCCTTGGCTACTATTCGTCTAAAAAGTGTCAAATCGCGCGAAACTGCCCCACCAATCTCGACAGTGTTAACAACGTTACACGGAAATCCAGTTTCCCAAGAGAGAGCCAAGAGGATCGGTGAGAAACCCTCGCGGGCAAAATAGGCGCAGATAAGAGAAACAATGGTCGGATTCTTAAGCGGAGGAGGACGCAACGATACGTTTATCGGGGAAATCGTTGCCGCACTGCTCGCGGCTGCATCGCAATTTCTGAGGCAACGTGATTAACAGCCAGCACGGGGTATCAGTATCGCGCGTTCCCAGCGTCGACTATCACGTACACGAGCCGCTCGATGTTCCGACATGGCTCGGCAACCGCTTTCGATGGAGTCCTCGCCGAACAAATAAGATCCCGTCGTTACCTCGCGCTGTGCAACTCCATCCCTGAACTGTAACGCCGCTACTCTCGAGTCCTCGAAGATCGATGAGAAAACTTTCCAAGGCCTGATGTCTCTTTTAACGGAGTCACGGGGCCAAGAGCTCCGAGATTATGCGAACGGTGTCTCCGAACGATGTACCGGGGGAATTTCTGATACCTTCCCGCCCATTGACCACGCTCCACGATGAAACATGGAAATGTAGTCGCGACGACTTTCCTACCAGGATCATCCCCTAACGTTAGCCGGAGTTCTATCGCGGTCGAGAGATTGCCAACGTCTGTTTCCGTGACTTTCCGTTCGATCGCTCGATAGAAGCCGCGGCAAAACAACTGAACTTGTTCCTTTTAGGAATCTGACAGTTCAGCTTCTTCTACGTATATTAACCACTTGTCACTAGCGTTTGAAAAATCGGGAATTAGGTAGACGTAGAAGAGGACTTTTTCATCAACGAAATTTCGTTCCATCTATTTCATCCGTACTTCCATCGATATTTTCCAGCTCGGAGTTGGCCGCGTGTTTATATTTTCGAAAGGGAAAGATATTGGTCGCCGGTGCGACCGGTAAGAGGTTCTCTCGACGGAAAAGGCTTCCCGGCCGGCAGCTCCAGCTGGAATTTCCAGCATCACTCGAGAAGACATTTCCGCGGCGGATGTTCGAAAAGTTCGGAGAGCCATTAGCTCCCCGGGAGCTGATCGATTGTTTGTCCCAGTGTTCGTACACCGCGACGACGAGCACTCCTGACAATCATGGCTCGTATAATCGCGTAAAAGATTCCTTCTCCCGGGAGCGGAAGTTTCGATGTTCTAAATAATAATCTGTTCTAAATAATAATCTAATCGTTTTGGTGTCTCACTTTCGCCGGAACCTCTCCGAACATGGAATTCTACTTACTCGAAACGGATTTATAATTCCATATTTATAGATGAGTTTACAGATTATGAAGAAATTTGTAGTATTCCGCTCTGTTTTGTAAAATTTTCGCTGAAAGTTGAAACGATTGTGTTGCAGCGCCAATTGTCGAAAACTGTTCTGGCTGACATCAGTGCGAGCGCTGAAAGGTACATAGGCACGCAGGGCGGCGGAATGGATCAAGCTATCGCGTTCCTTGGGAAATCTGGTATTGGTTTAAATTTTAACACGTTCACTGTCCACCTCTTGACCGCAGTGCTACTCCGTACAGCCCACAGAATGATCAGTCGCACAGTATACCTATATTTTCGAATATGCACAGGACTCGAACAAAATAACGAAATACCTCGGGTGTTTAACTAATTCTTTATTAATATCGGCAACGACCACTTTACGATTAAACGATCCTGTCAGTAGAATCGTACAAATCGACGATACGCTTGTTCGGTAATACGTTTAGCAATATTTCGATTATTTCGTTCAACTTCTGCACATGAATAACTTCGGCTACGTGTCCTAATCTTTATGTTTGCATGTGTAAATACGTGGTATAAGGTGTTAACGAGTTAATCGTTTGAGTGTCGTGTCTCGAAGCGCAAAAAAAAACTACAAATTCCATTCGGCACTCAAATGGTTAAATAACCGAGATACTTGTGAATATCCGCGAAGGTTCCGCGATGCTGATCGAATTTAACCCGGTGCGCGGTACGAATATCACTCTACCGGAAACCGCGGTGTTCGTAATAGCGCACAGCCAGGCCTGTCACAACAAGGCCGCCAGTTCCGATTTCAATTTAAGGGTTGCGGAGTGCCGACTAGCTGCCCAGGTAACGTACACTTTTTCATCATTGGAAATTAAAACGGGAAACGCGCGAACCGACTGAAACTAAACGAAATTACGAGAACAAACAAGTGAAATCTACCTTCGGCTGAAAAGTTATTCGAGAGAAGCAATTAGCAACGCGTTCCTACTCTTTCCTTCTCTTTGCTTTCTTTCTTATTCTCTGTCTTTCTTTTTCGACGTATCAGAAGAGAATTTTTGTTGAATTTATGGAAGGCGTGAATCGTTTGCGATTTCAAATACGAAGATACGAGACAACGCATCGTGTAGCGTGGCAAGTTTAAATTGAGCCACCGCTTCGGCAGAAACTTTTAATGATACGTGGTGTGTTAGACGCGACGTGTCCCCTGCAGTCGAATCAAGCTGCAATTGGAAATTGTTTGCTTAATATAGAAACTCCGCTAATATTTTCATACAGGAACTTTGCTAATTCTAATTAGTTTAGAGTTTAGCGCTTTAGGCGCCAGAACCATTCTAGCTTGATTATCTAATATACAATATATATATATATATTTTTCTTACTATTTACTTGCTATTCCTATTAACGTTTCTTTCCACATCGAATTACACTATTATCGGAGTGCACCGACTTTGGCGCAGGACTAACCAACCATAAATGTTTCGATACAAAGAAAAGATGGTTCGATAACGGTTGGAATGACGGCGGTGCTCACGGTCGAAGACGTGTTTTATTCGATTATCGATTATTTTCCAACGACGACATGATTCGCGGAATTTCAAAGAGACTAATGAGATTGCTCCTCGATTAAGTTTTACAGCTGTTAGACTGGTGACTTTGATCGATGCGCTCCGCCGAAAGCTCCGCCCTCCGACTCGGCTAACGAAGCACAAGTATCAGAACCATCCGAACAATCTCCTTTCTCGAAAGACCACAAAGAATATTTCCTCTGCAATAGAATTCGGGCCCTCGAGTAATTAATATCCGATGTGCTTCGTAATTTCCGACGCGACTGGAACGAGGATGAATCCGTGCCTTGAAATCTTGCGAAGTAATATCGAAAACCTACCGTTCGATCCTCCATGTTTATTCGAACAATTCAACTGCTATATTCCTAGTAATTATTATCACTAATTATATCGTGCTTCGTTCTAGACATTTATAATACAGACATTTATAACGTAGATAGAAGAGAAAAAGAGGTTGCAGGGGAATAAGTAACTGCGAATAGTATCGAAAAAACTACTGAATATTCGATGGCCTATCGAGCGATTTACTTCAGCCTCGTTTCCAGATAATAGCAAAGAAACGAGACAAGAACTGGGAGAGCGTGCGGAAATTAGTCGACGTACAAAAAGCACTCGGCCTCACCGTCGCCGAAATGGTTCCTGTGGTAACCGCTGACCTTCGCGCGGAACCATATACCTTAAACGAGGTATGCACTTGACGCGAATCATTAATAATGATACAGAAACGAACAGGAAGAACTTCCTTGTCGATCGAGGAAGCCGGAGAGCAAAGATAACGTCGCTTACTCTTCTCGATACCTCTTTATTTTTCGAGGATTAACGATTCTTTACCTTCCTTCGCATCCGAAATGTTGAGAATTCCCGATGCTTCGAGAATAAAGCACAATGTTATTTGTCTAGGTCTGCGAGATTTTGGGTACGACGATCGAGAGACTGAAGGAGGTCTCTTCGGTGGGAGCCTTCAGCGAATCGCAGCGCTTCGAACTGAGGCAACGCGCCTCGCATGTGTATCAAGGTAAAGAGAATATTGCCAAAAGAAACAAATTCTTTCGCCTCGGTGCTCTGTATCTTCTCGGTTAGCTCTTCTATTTATCAATCCGAGAAAATTTCAACAAACAAAGTTTCAACAAACGGCACGGTGCTTCGTGCCACGATTTTTCTTGGGAAAGTTCCGCTCGATTTCGCCTGCATTTTCGCGAGAATAATTCATGTATGCAAACGAGGATGTTGCTCGCAGAGAAGACAATCCGCGCCGGACACCGTGCGAATAATGAAAGAATAAAGAATCCTGAACATCGGAGCCCTTTGTGAACTGCGGTACGCAGGGAAAACCCACTCCCGGCAATTTAGTGTTTATCGAACCGAGCAAATCGAGTCACTAATTTCTGGCCTCGCCGTGAAATGGAATTTTCGATGAGTTCCTCTGTAGCTTATGTGTAGCTGTCCATCCTGGTGCTCTGACACAGTCGCGCCGCATTCTACGGAGAGATCGAAAAGATAGTTCTAGGTCTGTTCATTGCAATGGATATTTTAGTTATTCGTGTGCCAAGCTAATCAATTGATCCGCAAAGGACACTCGTATCAAAGCAGTTCAGCGGTGGTCGACTAGCAGATTTCGTGCCCGACGAGAAATTCCGACCCTCCGACCACCGATAATTATTCAGTGAATTTAATATTGGAGATACAGCGGCGCTTATCAGTCATTTGCGCGCGTTCCTTCGCGAAACAATGAACTTTCGCGACAGCTATATTCGGCTCGATCTGTAGAATTTATTTAATATATCGATCTGTAGGATTTCCCTCTTGTCTTCTTTTTCCCTCCTGTAAAATGAAAAGAAAAGCAGAGTTCGATGTTACGAGTTAAGGGGTTATAACATTCTTCTCGCGTTTCTGGACTTTCGTTCGGCTCTTGGCGGCATTTATTCCCCTCAAACTGGGACCTATTACGACCGTCACGCTCGTACGTTTAACGGGGACACTCTTCGCCTATGCGAGCTACTTAATACGATTGAATTTCATGCATTTAACATCAACGGACGAGCTGCACCGCCGCTACATTTTACCTAAACGACCTGTGCACGCGAGAACGGTACAGGCCGACTCATATTAATTGTCCATCGCCGTTGTCCCGTTATCAATGGGACAATAATAGAGCGTGTTCAGTTCGCGGAGTGCTCTTCGTCGAATCCTACTTGAGAATTAGTTTAGTCGCAATCTTCAACCACAAGTTCAGAAAGATTCAAATCTAAAATGGATCTTATTGGAAAACTGAGTTCGAGATTCGAAAAGGTAGGAGAAACTTTGTACATTTCTCCTTTGATGAAACATCTCTCCAAGTATTTTCTTCCGACTACTTTACTTATTCCGCGATAAACGAGGAAATTCAAAGGAAATACGTGTCGAATTTCCCATTTTAATTCTGTTACTCCGCGAAAACTCTTCCCGATTGCCTGCTCAAAGTACTTTACGTAGAAAACTCGATTCGTTCGTGGACAGAAAGATAATAGATTTCGCTGCAGAACGCTCGAGTGAACCGTGGAAATTGTCGTTTATCGTGAAACATAAATTTTAGTAATATTTCAGTAACATTATACTTTATTGAAAATTGATTGAAAATGGAATTGACGTCACGAACGAATGTTCAGGACGGTCACGGTGATTCGTCCTGTAGCGAGCCTCTATTGCCCCCGTTCTATATGCGATTATAGGGGCTGCTGGAGCGATTATTAAATTTCGATCGATTAAACGCGCGTATGATTGGATATTTTAGAAGCGGACAGAGTGGTGAAATTCCGGCGCGTGAGCGAGGACAACGGCATCGCGGAAGAGGAGAAGCTGCGACAGATGGGCAGCCTGATGTCTCAGAGCCACGCCAGCCTGCAAAAACTCTACGAATGCAGTCATCCCGAAGTCGATGCACTCGTCGAGAAAGCCGTCAACTGCGGTGCACTCGGCGCTAGAATGACAGGAGCCGGGTAAGTATAAGTACACGCTCTTTTCTATCGTTCAATGCATCTTATCGTTTGATTCGTGAATTTTTCTTACATCCAACTTTGCATTGCACAGAACTGTTGTCCCAGCTTGTTCTCGGTCAACTCTGTTACGCGATTTCTCACGTCGGAGACTTTCCTTGAGAAAACTGAAATGAAAAATTCCTACCGAAAATGACCAGCGTTACGGAAGACCGAGAGAGACTGACCCACCTGTTGAAACCATCGACCGATAAAAAATGAACTTTTCATATTCCTCGATTTTTCCTTGCGGTTTTTCGCGTTGAACTCACCGGCGAGATTTCCCCGGTGAAATCGGGATCGTTGTTCTTGTCGCGATCAAAATGAAAATCAACTTTCCGGGTTTGGATATCCAGATACACCGAGGACACCGCGAATCTAGGACGCTTTGAAACCGCCGCGTCACGCGGTCCGTTCGAAAAGTTCCTAGAGTGATATTTAACAGAAAGTCAACTTTGGAAACGGGAACGAATTTATTTGCGGGCTTTCAGCGTGTTCCCTTTACCCGCGACACGTTGCTTCCTAAGTGTCGCTATAAATTGGAAAAACCGTTCGGATTTGCTCAAAGGGAAAAAAGAGACGCTGAAACGCATCTCGATTATTCGGTCGAACATTTATCCGAGCGTATTATAATTAGTAAAATTCTGAATTTACTGGAACACGATATCGATAGCTTTCGAGTCCGATATTCTCCAACGAAATGTCACGCTCGAATAAATTGATTAAGAAGATAAATATACAAAAAAGTCTGCTACGATCCTTCTATTGAAAATACAGCTGCATTCCGGATCGTCTATGGAGAGAGATAATAAAATATCGACGTCGGCGTTAAGCAAACAGTTGGACACGATAAATTCACGACGGCGTTTTAATTATTTTCGGCAGCGTGAATAACGTTCCGCGTTATCCCTTGACCGTGCGAATAACGCGTTGCTTTCTTTTCCTGTCGAGTAACAGAATTTCAATCAGCCGCTTCTGATTGGTCAGCTTTTTACAGCCAAAGGTAGCAGAAACTGTGTCGAGATTCCGTGTTTAATGAAATTCCAAATTTTCGAGCGGTGCGCCACTATTTTATCATTCCATGCGACTCCTTTGATCCGTCCGTACCCAATAACGTCCATTAGCTGCCAAATATATATATATTGTTGACAAGCTCGTGACACGCCTCGGAACTCCGCCAGTTACGAACTTCCTTTACGAGCCGATCTACCCCTCGCCATCCCCGCTTAGTCCAAATATCTGTGTAGGCGTTTCCACAAAAATTCTTATATAATCCTCTTTGATGCTCCAACAGAATTTATCGTTAATAATCTTCCAGTTGGTTTGCTTTTTAGCATAGAAACAATCCAAAGAATTCATTTCTTTCTTACAGGACCAATTTCAATTGTAGATTAGTAAGATTGTAGATTGTAGAGTTTCTACTATAACGTACGACTGCTACTTAAACTTTGTATTACTTAGAGTTGAATCGTAGCCAATGTTATTCGATAAGACGATATTTCGGGCAACCGTGCAACGGGAACAGTCGCGCGAAATATCAAGATCGTACGGAAAGAAACTAGGACCGGGACCGGGACCGGGACCGGAACCGAGCCCCGGGGAACGGGTTAATCGTTTTACGATGAAAACCCAATGAATTTTATTACGGTCGGTGGCTAGCCGCGGGGACGTCTTAAACGACTTGAAAAATAGGTTCAGCTAGGTTTCAAAGGGAACGGGAACTTTTACTCCGCCACCGTGATTCAATTTTATTCGGATAATTTCTTTCCGGTGTTCGACCGATAAGGTTCCTCGAAAGTTCAACTCCCGAACTCCTGCCGCTCAATGTGTCTCCGATTGATAGTGACTTCCCCGGAAACTGAACCGATCGACTGCTCGAGATAACAGGGTAAATTGGCGAGAAGCCAACTCTGGAGAATCAAGTTGATTTGCATTTAATGAACGTTCGATTAATAAATCAATCGATCATTTATCGATCAGTTGTTCCGCTGATTTTATTCGTCGGAATAAATTCCTCGAATTTGAAGAAATTCTTGAAAGAGGATCTTTGCGCGACTATATTACAGTTGCATGAAAATTTCATGCAAGTGTAGTGGAATACAGGAAAAGGAACGACTGTTTCACGACCTTCCAATGTCGAGTGCGGCAACCCCTTCATTCAGGGGATGTATCAAATCGATCCATGGGTGTGTTTCAATTGTTGGCTTAGCGTGCCAATGAAATTGCTTCCACGGCTTGGGAACACGCAATCCCTATTACTAGGTGCCTATTGCCTTTCAATTTTCCAGTTTGCTTAAAAACCTTTTGCCAACTAAAGAGTGCATCTATGGAAACGTACCACGAATGCTGAACAGTTGCAGTATTTCGATAATTTCAAAGATTCGCAAAAGCCCACGAGAGGTTAGAGAAATTGTCATTATCGAGAAATCATTTTATATACAGCACTCTATGATAAGCATTTAAACGAGCTCGGCATCATTTCGTCCGCGAACCGTCCAGCGATATCGGAAATCGATCGGGTCAAGCGACTCGACGTTAAATTAATGAAAATATTTTTGCATCCACCAGTCACCTGGGGAAATTTCGTTTGACACAGGTGGGGCGGGTGTATAGTGGCCATCACGACCAAGGACAAGGTTTTCCAATTTCTGGACGCGTTGAAGAAGGAGCTCGCACTGGATGGGATAAAGGATGGATTCAAGCTGGACGATCTGGTCTTCCCAACGGAACCGAACCAGGGAGCAGTGATTTATACGATCTAGTTTCCATGTCCATCCGTCGACTCGTTTTCTCTTCTTTCAAATCCTTTTCCCCCGCCGCCTTTATTCTCGCGTGCAACTCAGGAAATAGAAAATATCGCTAATCTTTATACGATGCCTACTAATCGACAACGATTAGACTGCGGATCTTTCATGGGAATTCAGTGCTGTCGAGGAAACTAGGTAGAACTGAATTGCTTCGAAAACTGTATCCTGTTGATTCGCGCCAGTGGGACCAGTGGTAACGCATTCCAAACTTCGCGGTTTACAGTCAACGCGGATAACGAAACTTGCTTAACACGTATGTTATAACAGGAAAACAACAGAAATATTTTGTCAGTTTATAAAACGGTCATCGAAAATACACAGAGATGCGCAAAGCAATGTTTAGCAGGAATCGAGTGGTAAAGTGTCCTTTCTTCTCTCCGATAGACGTAGCCGACCTGGAGACCTGGAGTCGACTGTAGCTCACGAAACCCGTAAACGCACCAGTCATTTCGGATTGATTTACGAGCGTGAACGTAAAATGTATCCTGCAGGAAACGACGTTCGTCGATCGAGAAGTTCCTAATTAATAGTCGTTGCTTCGCGAAACGAATCGTTCGAATTAGTAACTAATGAAAAAGCTTTAAACGGAAAGACGTTTAAGAAATTCGAAGGTACATATTCGTTAGAATTCCAGTGGTTCCTACATCGATGTCCGACTCGGATTCGAAAGGATAAAGTAAGGAATGGTATTTTTCCATTGGAATATTCCTACCCGACCCGTATCCCATAATCGCATAGGGTGTCCTTTACGTGCTCCAGTCTTCGGGAATTCCGTCACGGAAATTAGAAGGCGACGGGCGTGTACGGGAAAGTTAGGCGAGACTGATTGCGAATTTGTTCGTCTCGTACGACACACGCCACTCGCGAGAGACGGAATCGCGCGGAGGAAAATTAACCTCGCGTTCTGTCAATCGGAGACAGAAATCTTACGCTGCTCCCCCGGTTTCTCGCGGCCGAATATAATAATGCGAAATAACGTTGAATCTCTAACAAACAAATTTTCTTTCGCGGAAAATCTCCGCTTCGATCGACTCACTCGTGTACGTTATTAAACGAGTTTACATAACCGCAACAGCAATGAACGCGTCTACGAGTCTTTAGAAAAATCTCCATTTTATTTCGCATAGCTTCAAACCGATATATATATATATATATATATATATATATACGGCGCAACAAATTTCCAATTTATTCTTGCTCGCGTGCACGCGAAATAATTGGAATTTACAGGAACATCCGTTATCCATTTTTCACTAGAAAAAGAAGATCGTAGCCCGCGTCGAGGCATATTAAACCCTCCATTGTATCGTGTTTCACGCAGGATGCATTTGCCGTGGATGCATAAAATCTGCATTCTAATCGTGACTAACCCCCGATGACGGAGCGATTAAAAGGAGGTCGACGATTATACGGTGGAAACGCCACGCCGCGACGCGAATAGGTGCGAGCAATCGGCGTCGATACACGCACGCCACGAATCCGATATGAATTCGTTTCGAACGACTATTCGGTACGAATGATTGCAATTAACGAACCCTACGTTCGCAGGCTTCCAGCGTACGGTTTTTTCGAGAAACCGGCGTCCCCGCGTCGACCCGCCGGACGATATTACATTACTTACTTATTACATATTACTTCGACTTCGCGATGATCGATACCGCGCGACGCGAAATTGCGAAACCGTTCCACTATTTTTTCCAGCGTTCGGCCAGGTCGGCACACCTGTCGTCCTAAAGTCCGCCGCGGATATTGATTTTTCCGCCCGTACGTTCTCGTCGAGAACAACTCTTCGATAAGAAAGCTGAACGAGATTCAGCGGAAATTCGATCAATTAAATGAACAAATTGTTAACAGGATTTGTTCGGAAGTTTACCCTACGGCCACGGACCTACGTGGATGGATTATAGAGTCGTTCCACTGTCCGGACCCCTCGAACCGAACCCCTCGCGCGTCGGTTCGCCCAGTTCTTCGAAACTTGCCGCACGTTCTTTTAACTAACCTAACCTATGCAGTTATTCCAAGAATTCCAATAACATCGAACGACATTTGCACGAAACGCGTAAAATCCGTTGTCTAATTTGTCCCAGGTAGTGGTTCTCGTAGCGGAAGTTGGCCGGTGGCTCGGTGACACCGAGGACCGGTCGCATGACCGGCGTGTAAATCAATTTCGGGTCTCCTGATGAGCTTAGGCTAGCAGCTTCACGTACCGCGGTGCGGTTGCCGGCGTTTCCCTTTCCGCAAACACCTGCTGACTCGTCCCCTCGCGCCGCGGTCACCAACACCGGCGAGATTTCCAAGTCTAAGCTCGTAAACGTCCCCTGCGCGTAGCGGGAAACTTTCGAGCAAACCCTGCAAATAATATGCCGCCAAAATAAAGATCTCCAGCTGGGTAAGTACGCCCCAGTTTCAATTTTAATATTTATCTTGGTTAAACGAGTTTCTCGAAGCTCGCAGCGAGCAACTCCGCTTGTTCGGTGTTTCCATGTTTCAGCGCTGACACGTATTTGCTCTTTGTTTGTGTACTTTCATCGAGTTTATCTTCTTCCCGCGCCATAGAGTTAATCGCTTTAGCAAACGGATGACCGAAATATGCCACTTGTAACTCTTTGCTAATCTGACCAATTTACGATTCACCGTTTCGTTGCTAGTTCCTTGGATTCCAATACTTGTTCGTTCATTTGCCAATAGCGGTGACGATATCGGTAAAGATATTCTTCGAGCCAGTTTAAAATCGATTCGCCGAAGCGATACGTTCCGTATCTTCCCGAGCCAGAGCCGATCTCGATCGCGGGAGTGCCCGTTAACAGTTTTAAAAAACGGGAATTCGAACGTTGACGAATAACAAGATTGAAGAATACACTTAGTACGGGATCTCCTGGGAACGCGACGCAGGGTTTCGTTTATTTATCCCGCACGAACGACGCGTCGCCGTTATCCCTGCGCCCCCAGGACCATAGGGACCGTAGGGACCGAATTTATTCAAAGGCTTCCGCGACCGTATTGATACGCATATCGTAAAAGCTCGCTCTCGCCCTCCGACGCAAGAAGAAAGGACCTCGGAAACCTTTTATTCTCTCCGAGTACATTTCTATACCCCGAGTTATTTCAGCCTTAAACAGTCTCGCTTCCCTCCGCAGCATACGAAACTCCGAATTCTCGCGGACATTAAAAATACCTGGAGCCAGGGGGGACGCGTGCGATTTTCCGATGATACTTTCGGACGTCTCTCTTCCGAATCCTCGAAAGAGCGTTCGCGGGCAAACTTATTCCCTCTCGACAAAAAGAAATCTTCCAAGAAAATTCCATTTTAGGAAACTTGTTCCTCCGTAAATTCGCAATGACGCGCATCTTTTGGAATATTTCGCGAGAATTTCCATCGGGAATGAATCCCCGAGAAAGGCGGCAAGAACCGGAAACAAGGGAGCCTACGTAAAAGGCGCGTATCACCTAGCCCAGGTTTTTATGGTCAATCTGGGAAAGGTCAGCTGGAACGGTCGTGTCGAAGACAAAACGTGCAAGTTTGACCGTCGCGCAAATAAAAAGCTGGGGCCGAGTAAATTGATTAGAAGATCGGGGCCCTCGAACCGATGTATCATGTCGGCCAGGATCCCGCGCGTTTTATTTCCCTCCTGTTTCCTCTTGTCCTTTAACTGTCCGGTCGCAGCCGTCGTCGCAATTTATAGCGCATTCCCGTCTCTATGCGACACGGAGAACCGCTATTGCCTGCGGCGAAGGTGCCCCCCCAGCTCCTGCGTCGCGAAATAAATTCCGCAGAATAGGTTCCACTGTCCGCAGGTGTTGTGATTTAGGCGTATCGCCTTGGAAAATCGTGCTGTCGCTGTAATCGCCTCGCTATCGTTGGAACGTTGAATTTCACTCCGGGATAGGTTGATCGCGGTTAGCAGCCGATTCCGGAGAAATCTTTGGGTTGGCCGACAGTGTCGTAATCCTCGTAGCGACGCGTTACGACGTTCAGTAGAAAAGTTTCGCGTCGGTGGGCCAATAAAACTTGGCAGTGCACACCGCCGCGGCACGCCGTGCTCCGTTTCGGCGAACCGGCAGGACAAAACTCCCAAACGATACACGAGCCATCGAAACAAAACAAAAGCAACCTCTTCTCACGGAACCGTGCTCTCTGTCGAACCGTGCCTCTTTTTGCCGAACTTTTCTTTAGCGGCGGCGTTGATAGCAACGCGCAAAAAATCTGACGACTTCAGGGCTAATTGGTTTCTCAATGGAACGGAAGTAGTCCGACGGTAATGACTGGCCGCCGTAAAGCGGTGCTCGATAAATATGCATGAGACAAGACCGAGGACCGATTAAAGCTGAGATCGATCGATCGACTCGTCCACTTGTTCGTCGAGCCGTTCCGGTCGAGCATCTTGCCACGGAAATCCATTTGTCGAGGGCCGATCCACGAAAACTTCCCGATGCACCGGGACAAGGAGCTGTCGGTGCTTTGTCTACGATCGGACGGCACGGAGAAATCATTCGGGGAACTTTACGATCGAATATGGTAGCCGCGGGACCGTAAACTTCCGGGTAACCCACCGTTTCGGCGGGGGCGAAGCTAAAATATGCTCGACATCGGCAACTGATTCCGCCATTTTAAAATAACTTGCCAAGATCGCTGACACGAGCATTCACCCTCCGACCGCCGAGCACTCAAGAACATCCTTTTCTTGCAAAACATCCGGAATAAGGTAACGATCGAATCGTCGGATTAATTAACGCGAGCCGATCCCCTGGAGTCCACCGGTGACGAACGATACCGCCAACTCCGTGGTTTCGCGCGTCGCTGTCGGGATGCTAATGAAACTCGCATCTCCGGAGGAAGTTTTTCCATTAGCATCCGACCAGGCGAACTCCTGAGCGTGCATCCCGCGGAAGCCTGATCCTGTTTTCCAGGTAAGTACAGTCTACCCCTACAGTAGACTCCGACGCGTGTCAACTAATACAAAGTATACTCCCTGCGCGAGATACCTGTCACGAAAGACACTGTCAATCGGAATTACTCGCTCAGCGGGAAAACATTTTATTTCCTCGTAAAAACACGAAATTGTTCATTTGATCATTAATTTATTCATTTTCGTCGGATTTGTTCGGTTTTCGCGTCGATCGACTGCTTCGTAATCGATGCATTCTTCGTTCGTTTTGAGAATAATGGCCGGTGCGTTCCTTTTTCCTTCCTCTGCCCCGGTAGGGAATTTGATTATTCGGGGGTGAGAATTGGACGCGCGGAGAGTCGACGCGCATGACCGAGCCGAGTTTTCGCGGCGCGAACAACGTAAAGGCCGGCAGTCAGCCTCGAGCTACTTCACGTGCTTGTTCTAGAAACGTTAGAAATGCTTTCGGTAGAGTGGATTACATTTCTGACAAATGATCTCCCATGGATTTTCCTATCATGATTCTTCTCCTCTTGCTATGTAGGTAATCTGGTGTCGTTGAATCAGTGTCCGAATCTTTTCCTCCGGCTTTTCCGAGTGAATACGTAATGTGCGGTTAACCACGCGCCCGAAGCATGGCAATCATGCAATCCTGTTGCTGCTGGCGGTCCGTCAGGAGGGGTAGTTTCGCTTGCGCAATTTACTCGGGGGTGAGTATTGAATTTCGAGCATTTTTCACTGAATTTTCTCCTTTGTTTTTGTTTGCTTTCGTTCGTTGACGCCAGCAGATACTCTACAGAAGGCGTAGCTTTCTTTCTGTTATTCGCTCGGGGATGACAATCCAATTTTTCGCTATGCCGCTTTATTAATCCAAATATTTTGCTTCGACAGTCGATGCTATTCGAACGGTTTTCCTTGGATTTCCGGCAGCAGTGTTTTATAACGGACAAAAGGATTAGCTTTTTTATTATTTTGTTATTCGTTCAGGTGGGAATGTCGAACAAATCCTGAAACGTTGAAACATTGAAAATAGCCATAGTTTCGAAACTACATCGAGGATTCAAGTGTACCATTAAATTCGAACTGGTACGAAAACTCGATGGTATACCCTTGATTAGTATCTACCATTTTCCTACTCGTTCTATGAATACGCAAGGACCCGGACTTTAGCAAGGATTTTCAAGTATCCTTCACTCGACTGAGAAGCTCCGCGATCTAAGACGCGCCGGAAGGTGAATATTTGCACACGAAATATTACACGATAGAAAAGCATTTCTGCTGACGGTAGCGATGCAGCTACAACATTCGCATTACTTATCGTCCTTGTACTTTATCGCCGACAAACCGGCAAACCAAAAATCCAATGCCAATGACGAACGAGCCCGAGTCGGTGACCGACGCAAACGCGCCGTGGATATTTGAAAATGCGTTATTTGTTACCCGACGGTTCAACATTTTTCCCCCAGCAATAAATTCCTGTTATAACAAACGACCCCGGAATTTATAGCCAATTCGGTGTCTGCTGGCTACGTGAAATTATGCAAGGCGTCTGCGGGCTGTTCTCACCTGCATTTCCCTTGCGATTTATTCGAAAACTTGCGTTGCCTGGATCAACCGAGATCTTTAATTATCGCTTTTATTACCCTCGAAGGTATTCGATTCGAAATTCGAACAAGTCCGAAGAGTTGTCGAGTGTTTGGTAGGAAGCATTCGCCACGAGGGAAAGGGGTTATTGAATTGTTGAAATTGCAGTCGAAAATAGTCGAGATGCGAGAAATATCGGTGCGAGAACCACCGCTCGAAACGACGCGGCGTTGAAATTGTTCGACTCGAATACTTGCTGGGACTGATCCTCGCGCGAACCTTTATTTCCCACTAAACGCACCAGGCTGAAATTCAAACACGCACCCATAGTTTTCCCTTCTCGTTGAGAACAAATGAAAATAGGGCCACGAAAGCGAGCAAAATTGTCGCTTCTCCTTGTTTTTGTACTCCGGCCCGTGTACGTTGACCGCTATTTACCTTGTTCGCTGTATGACCACTTTTGTCCATCGGTTGATAGACTATGTATCTTCATCGTCGTTCTGTCAATTGAAAGTCACGAGGGGTCGATCTAGGGGATAGCCGGGTAAATTCATCATCGGTCTTTCATTATCCTCCATGAGCCCCGTTGTTACATAATCAAAAAGTTACATAATTGGATGGATTGGGCGCAAATGATTATTCGACTGTCTTATTATTTTAGAATTTTTCGATGAATTTCTTGATCAATTCAATGATTCCTAGCCAGTTTGATTTGAATCTCTAATTATAGACATTTATCAACTAGAATATGCTGCTTTTACGAAGCAAAAGGACGTAATGCGAATATAAAACATACATATATATATATATATATATATATATATATATCTGATTTTCCAGGATCGTAACAAACGCGTAACGATCGGAAAATTTACGTATTCCAGAAATGTCTGAATTAATGCGTTTTATTGCTCCGTCGCGATCGTAAAGAACGCAATAAACAGGTGTGCTATAATGAACTGCATCGCATGCTCCGTGGCACTTAGGTATGGCGGGAGATCGTAAAGAATAGAGATATAAGGGTTGTCGGGTGCTACTCAATCGTTAAGTGCTACGACCAAACGCGAATTGTTTGCGAACTCGAACGTTACTTTCAACAAATATACCATTATTGTTAAACCTACGTACCTTTACCAACGATGAGTCCGATTAGAGATGTTTCGGGATATTTTCTATCGATATCATAGTTCCCTTGCGATTCGCGCACCAACACCACTCGAGACACGAACGGTAAACAATATTGGAAAACGTCGAAGAAATGAAATTCCATGGGGCCGGGGATCCGCGAGAGTACCCCGGAAAATAAAGTTACGATGATCAGATTCAGTTTGGTTTACGCGAATTCGCGATTCTCGATGGAGCCCGCGTAACTCGATTCGACGGGCCGACCCTCGGGAAATTCGACGAGTTAATGATGCAAGGTATTCCGATGATGAAGGGTGTAATGTAAATACAGCGGGGCTTTCGGCATCGAAATTATTCGAATTTTCCAGCACTTTAAACACTCGCGTTCCTTGCGGTGATTTCTTAATGAAAAGATTCGGTATGTACGAACATTCGGGAAAAATCAAATAGTTCTTCCGCAACTGCAGAACTATTTCTAATAAAATGAGCCGAACGTTTTCGGCTTCTTGGTGAATAGCATGTGCAATAGCACGCGACACGGCACGAGGTCGGCGCGAGGTCGGCACGGGGGTTAGCTGGAAATAATAAGCATTCGGGAGCTGGATGCAAGGCGCGTAAACTTGTTTGTCGAGCTACGTGCACCGATATACTCCACTGCTACGCTCGAGTGGCTCGGATAAATTTCCAAGTTCATGCACGATGCAAACTTGCCCATAAAAAGTTTGCACTTTTCAGAGTCTTTTGCAGATTTTTCCGTTCGTTTCCAGCGTTACGTTGAAACTTCCACCGCGCCTGCACGCGCGTTCGAACTTCCCTTTAATTACCGATTACTTTGTTTCAAGTGTTTGGAAAGTGCCGGGCGCAACGGGTTTTATGCTCGCGGACGAGACTTTTTCATTCCGCGCTTCGTTTTTCTTCTCGCGAGCACTTTTTACGGCCACGCAGCCCGTCCGTTTAACAGGTTTCGCGAATCATTCGTCAGAGCCATGGCAGAAAAGGGAAAATGAAAAATTAATTAACCCCGCGCCTCGAAGGCTTTGAACAGAGATCATAGAGCGAAGGGTTGGAGAAGCTAACCAAGCTTCGCCTGCCGGTCAACTACTCTTGATCGATGCATTTTCACTGGCTGCATTCGGTTAAGTCGCATCAGAGCTATCGGCTTCTAGTGCCTGATTGGATCTTCTCAATTAGATGCACTTGACCCCTATGAACCCTGATTGATGCACTCTGGAGAATGCTGTCCAGTTAATGCACCTCGGAGGATATCCTCTAGAGAATTTACTCTGGACGAGTCATACCGATGGATACAATTCGAAACAATTGCCGATTGCGTGATGTATTGAAAATAATATAGATGAAAAATGTATGCGGTTACTTTGAGAGGTAGCCTGGGTAGATCGAAAACAGGGTCCGAAGTACGCGCCTCTGGATCTTGAAATACTACATACGTATACGGAGATTCCGGAAGATGCAGCTCCCAGTGCTTGTAAAATGTAATTCCGAATGCGGATGCATCGTAGGATCTGCCGATAGTAGTCGGGTAGAAGATGCACCCGAAAGATCGCTGGCGCTGGGTATAAATCGGATGAATAGATTCAGGTAGCTTAGCTCGTGTCTCGCGGCCTACTCGGATGGATGCATTCGTACGAAAGACATTCGAGCAAGTAAGAAGCACGGCTCTTTCGCAAACATTTCTTGGAAATACCGCGTTCTACCTTATCAAACTGTCCTCCTCCGATCTTCCTTCTCTCTATGCAGTTTATGCAACGAACCGTTTTCTACGCACGGAGAATGTAATTCTGTACCGGATATAATTACATAAAACGTCTCTCGTAAACTGGAAATATTCATCGTCCTCCGGTGAGACGCCGATCAGATTTTCCTGCAACCAACGCGAAGGGAAATCATATTTAAATTGGTTCAGGAATAGAACCGTTTAACCGAATATTTCGTGCATCGAGCGTTAACGAATAAACAAAACTATTTAATATAGCGAGTAGAGGAGGAACGCGAGCGGTTTATTCGAATAGTCGATGTATCGAGATTTTGAATAATTTCACTGCGTCGAACCGAACGGGGACCGAGCGCAAAGGATTAACTTCTCGGAACTAAACCCGCAACACTTTCGGGAACCAGTAATTCCAACGCCATCGACATCGATTCGCGGATCGATGAACAACGCTGTATTTACGTTGTAGCGCCGCGCGTGCCATTTTATTTCACCGCTGGTTGCCTCGCGTTTTTCCGCGTATGTGTGGACTTTACGTCGCGGAAATACCGGCGAAACTGAACACCGGTGGATCTCACGGGTAAAAAAATTGATCCGCGAGACCCGTCGTGCGGGAAATTCATTTTCCCAAGCGATACGAAATGGCGATACGAAATGGTGATACGAAATGGCGATACGAAATGGCGATATGAAATGGCGATCCGTGCACGGCAAGTCGGCGTACATATATTGGTATACGCGCCACGGGTAAATTTGATTGCAAATTTTAGTTATTGCGGTCGCACCCCGTTCAAATCGCCTCGATTCGACGGAAGCGGACCGAGTAACGGAATCTTGAAAAATCGCTATTCGTTCTTAAAAAACAACTGTCATTCTTGCAGATGTTTACTCTGCAGAGTAAAAAGCGAGGTGATTTCTGTAACATGTTTACCAACAGAATGAGAATATTCGGTAAACATGTCGACTTGCGCGTCTTTTGGACTTTTCGAAATCTCTTCCGTGGATCTGAAAAACGATGGTTGTTCCGAAGAACGGAGGATCCTAGAGACAGCGATGCAGCTGCACGAGCAGACGGATGGTTGTTTGCATAGAATCATAAACTTCCTCCTTATGGTCTTGCTCGCGGGTTCATTCCAAGAGCGTATAATAAAAGTTAAGAGCGACCGCACGAACAACTGGGGCGGGATTAAAGCTTCGGTCGAGCATGAAATTGGTGCTTCGGTTCGAACGCAACGTAGTCGGGGGTTCGCTAAATTGAACTCGCGTTACAAT